ATGTGTGCAACTGCACCGTCGTCCCGAAGTGAATAGTCAAGGAATGACGAGGCTCCTTGAAAGGGCTCTGAAAGCCGTGCCATGGTTCCAAGCGGAGAGCCGGAGATGATGCTTGCATTCTCGAGACACCGTTTGAACGTAGGCCTCTTTGCCAAGTCACACCTCTCTTGGGGTACGGCGCTTGCTCACGCCCTTCTCGAGCTGAAGCTTTAAGAGTGCAAGGCAATGAAAAGAATGACAAGGCAAAGTCGAACTCCAGTAAAGTACGAGGATGCCAGGTAGGGGTCCCCTAATTGAGGAGTCTGTGCGATGTAGCGTGATTTGTACCAGTTCGTCTGAAACTGTTCTTCAATTCTTGGGAACTCCCAAGCATCTTCTGTGGGAGCTAAGCGGTAGAGCAAGGCAGCTGCTTCGCGTAAAGTCCACATGCTGCCTCGTACTCTCCACGAGACAAGCGCCGAATCAAGAGGGAGCGAGCCCCATTTTGAGGCAGGCACCTTCAGCTGGCCAGAACAGCTTAAGCAGACAGAAGCCCATGAACAATGTTACTCGGCACAGGCCTGGCCAACTTCTGCATGTACATGTCCAGAGTGTCCTCGCCACGCCAACCCCACCGTGAGGTGTGAGCAGCATGCGACAAGCTAACTTTGGCAGCGCCTCTGGAACAGCCTCGTAAGAAGCTGCTGGAAAGGACGCCTTGGCCAAAGATGATGCAGTTGGAAAACATCAGCTGGCTTCCTGCGTCTTCTCGGAGTCCGAGGTGGGAACGCTGACACTTGGCCGAGCAACGTTTCGCCGCTGTTGCAACGGGGTCGCAGGCCTGGCGAAGAATGGAGATCTGGAGAAGCGAGGCAAGTCGCGCAGCTCGCAGCAACCAAAGCGCATGGAGATCGTGAGCAATTTTGTCGCGACGAGCAAGTTCTATCCGCGGTCTGCAGGCAACAGCACTCTGGCCAAAAATTGTGCCTTGGTTATAATATAAATATAAATATATATATATATATATATATAGATAGATAGATAGATATAGATATATATATATATATATATATATAGATAGATAGCAAAGTGCGTTCAATAGCACAGTCCTTTAAAACCATCGCGACGCAGCGAATAGCCACCTGCTGGCGAAGCGCCGCTTGGGAAGTTGCAGGAATGGCATGGAATGGGCACTGCTAGGGGCAGTTGGAGTTCACATCACTGAAAGCACTCCAGGGGTCTATGGCGGCTGGGATCAACGATGCGATCTTGATGACGGTTCCGGCTCCGCCTGTAACGAACATGAGACTAGCCTGGGCGGCGAACTACGAATCCATTAGGCCGATGCAGAACCAACTCATGCCTTCTATGGTTGCCCGGAACATCTCCTCCTGGACGCCTTCGTCCCACAGGACCTTGGCCCCGTTTCAGCATGGTTGGCATTGTCCCGGGCAGGCCGCCCTGACTTAAGAGGCTTCAGGCCTATGATGTCAAACATCAAGAAGGCAAACTCCACGTTAGCGCCAATGTGATGCTCGGGCCAGTTGCGAGCCATCGGACTCTTCAAAGTCCTCTTCTTTTCCAGGGGACCACCAGGCCGGCCAAGGTCGGCAGCACAAGAACAAAGGAGCAGGGAGAGGAGGTGCAGGCCACGGACACGAAGAGGAAAGCCTCTTTGAGGGATCGGAGCGGGGAGGATGGGAAAGGTCCTTTCCCATCCGCCTCCACAAAGCACCGCTCCGATCCCTCACGGAGGCTTTCCTTTTCGGGCTCTTGCTCCCCCGTTTTCTTCGTCCACAGGCTTCCACACCACTTATGCGGGCGGGGGGTCTTCTCGGAGTGGATGGCGTGACCCTCCGGTGGGTACATGCCCTTGGTGAGTAAATCATAGGAGATCCTTGAACTCCCTCTCGTACTGCTCGAGCTGCTGGGCATAGTCAGGGAACTCGCCCGGAGTCCCATGAGCAACTCTCCGACAAGTCGGTGCCAACTGCCTGCCCCAGTATCCCGAAGACGAGGAGGAGGCACCTCATGAGGCTGGAGGTCTCTCCATGTCTTCCTCGCTGAGCAGCAGGGCTTAAGAAGAAATCAAAGCTCCTGAGCCGCAAGAACCATCGACACCTCTCCCATGAAAACTTCGACCTTCGGTCCTTCGGTATATTTCAGGATTCGAGGCCTGGTGGGCGAAGGATCATGCCGGCGGTCTCTAGCCTTCGCAAAACGGTAAAGGCTGCATCCAGTTGAGACAATAAGAAAACTCTCCCAGAACCGACGAGAGCGATGCGTGTTTTGGCGGTTCCCGCGGCCCAAGGCCTGCGTGGGCATCACAATATGAACCATAACATACAATAACATGCTACAAGGTTCTACAATATACTACACTGCCATTACTATAGTATATTGCAGTGTACAACAACATACTATAACGTACTAGAATATACTACAATGTACTGTCATGTACCATAATCTAATCTACTCTACTGTACTATCCTAGATCATACTCGACTATCATACATCTTATCTTTGGCCACGGCTGCAGGCCTCGCTGCATTGCCACATAGAGACCCCGGCCAGGCTGAGCATCGTCCTTCAGAAGCTATATATTCTAGTGTATTCAATTTATAGCAAATCGTGAATACAGTGTAGAAGCTCAATTTTTTTAGTGTATCATAGTAAATTGCGAATACATTGTGATGTATTAGTACATTCCAGTATATTATGGTGTGTTATAGCATATTCTCGTATATCATAGTCCAGAAAGCACCCTTACAGCGGCAGCTCCAGAAGGCCCGGAAAAGCTCATTGGGTCCCGTTGCTCCTGCTGCGCCAGCGCAGCACCAGAACAAGCCTCAGAGAGTCGCACGACTCGGCTCCAGTCTGACCAGCTTCCTCTATTCATAGGGACCCTTAGGGGGGTAGTGGGAGGGCGGCCCTCATGCCCATAATAAGGACATTATAAGGTCTATTTAAGGAAACCCCCCTACCCCCCGAACGGTCCCTATGATCTATGCACTTGTTGCGCCAGCTCGGACATCGACAAGCGCATTCCCCAGTGGACTGAGGGACCTTAGGCAGGCTGATCTGCACGACGTCACACTTCGTGGTGCAGAATCCGGAGGCGCGAACGGCGTTGATCTGAATGTCTGCACTGGTGACCTTGCCGCAATCGAGGCTTGCAAGATCGCTCTAGCTGCTCTGGCTTGCAGACAGTCGGCACCCCGTGCCTGTTTCTGAGCGGAGGCGTGTCCCTCGCAGGACAAAAAGCTCAGGTACCATCCGAACCTCCCCAAACCCTGAAACCCTACTGAAACACTAAAGCCCCTAAACCGTCGATGGCCTCTTCATTCGAGGCTGATCCCAGGGCAACGCGGCTGGAACTTCGCTCTTTGCCAGCACGGGGGCGCCCTGCACACGCACATTATGCTATGTTTTTGTCTTACTATCTTGCGTATTCCCGCCATTAGCATGTTTGTTGGTATAGCTATGGTTCTGACTGAGATTATGCTTACGATGATGATGTCTCTTATGGTTGTACTTATTGTGCAAACTAGGAATACATCGGTGTTATGATTAGGGTCATGATTCTGGCGATCATTATGGTCGAAACGATGATCGATGATGATGATGATGATGATGATGACGGTAATGATGGCTATGATGATGCAGATGTTCATCAAGAAAGCCCTTATTGAAAATGTTATGTTTGCTAGCAATAGTACTTGTAGCTGTGGTAGTACTGGCAGTAGTAGTAGTAGTAGTAGTAGTAGTAGTAGTAGTAGTAGTAGTAGTAGCAGCAGCAGCATTAGTCGTCGTAATAGCAGTACCAGTGGCAGAAGAGGCAGCAGCAGCAGCAGTAGCAGCAGCAGCAGGAGCAATAGCAGTAGCAGTAGCAGTAGCAGTAGTGGTAGCAGTGGCAGTGGCAGTGGCAGTGGCAGTGGCAGTGGCAGTGGCAGTGGCAGTGGCAGTAGGAGTTGGTAGTAGTGGTAGTAGTAGTTGTTGTTGTTGTAGTAGCAGCAGCAGTAGTAGTAGCAGTAGTAGTTACTACTAGTACTAGGATGAAGATGAGGACGATGATGATGATGATGATGCAAATGACACAAGGCTCAGTGCGCTGACCTGGCCTGCGATGAGATCACTTCAGCTGGCCTTGCCGCGAACAGTCCCCTCCATCACCCGATGCACTGAGACCTAGCCTAGCCAGCACCCGTCCTCCTCCTGGTTTGCGGAGCCGGTGTGCCAGTGCAACAAACCGCCCTTACTGATGAAACTCATGCCAAATGTGCTGCAGCAAACTCTACAAACTGCGGCCGCCGACCGGCGCCCAGAAGACTTCTGGCTTGTCCTCACTGAGGTGCGTTGTTCTCACTGGCCCTTTCGACTTGCTACGCCAGCCTTTGAGGCCTGTACTCCTCTGTACACAGCAGGCTGTCCCGCAGGAACTCGAGCATCTGAGTTCTCGGAAGGTCAGAAACTTCTCTCCGTCCCCGCACAAAAATCTGCCTCGCCACGTCTACAGCTCCACTTGGAGTTGTTTTACATCGTCGACTTGATGCGAATATGGCGGTTGGCCCGGCGAGCACAGACTGTAGACACGCTACATGCTGCTTGACATGCTTCTGTAGTTTCTTGCACACCGCTCGCGCACTGCTTTGTCCTCTCAGCACAGCCATTCTCTGTGCAGCCTCTGCTGAAGAAGCTAACTGACCGGCTTCTCTGAAATTCTTGACTGAGGACGGAGGCTGTCCGATACAGCTCCGATGTTGCCAAGCGTACTGTGTAAGCCTGGCTTATGTCATTAACACAGACGAAGCAGGAGCTCGGCTGCATGGCTGGGTCGCTGTACCTCGTTCTTTGCTTGACTCGGCAGCTCACAGGCACGGTGGGATCTGTGATCTGAGGCTCTAGCAGGTTTCCCCATGGAGCATCATGCAGAGATTCCAGTCGAAGCGAAGGCAAATCCAGGGACCAGCGTGTAGATGGCAAGAACTACGCAAAAGTAAATGCAAGCGACATCACCGCCGTCAGCCTCTCGCCGCCTTGCAATCGACGCATAGTGAGAAAGTCTGAGCGGGACGTGCCCCTCCCGAGCATAATATACTACGATACACTATAATACACTATAACATACCATTTTTTACTCTAATAGACTATTTACAAAATGTACAATGTAAAAAAAAACATGCTACTTTTTAATATACTTTTTAATATAATACTTGAGCTCCCGGCCTCGGCAGGTTCTGCAGCAGCCGCAGGCTCCTTCGGTTCTGTCGCCGCAGGTGTCTCGGCCTGTCTCGCACTCGACGATGCAACAACTTGTGGAAATTTGTCAAAACCCGGGAAAGCAGTGGCGCAGCTGGGTTCATTGAAATGAGCGTTCTCTCTCAGCAGCTGACCGGCAAATAAGATGGCTTAGCAGTGGAGCTGATACCTGACAAACACCAGGACTGCGCTCACGGCACACGACTTGCAAGCTAGCGCCAGGCCTGCCAAAGCTTCCATCTTCATCTCTTCCTCAAGGGCGCTGAACCTGATGCAAAAAGTTCCCGAACAAAACAAATTCATCGAGACATAACGAGCTGTGATGCAAGATTTGGTGGGGCCGAGGTTTCTCTGTCACAGAGGAAAGCACAAGGAGGCCAATCAAGCACACTCCACTTGGATAAGCATCGGGTTAAGCTTCGACGCCCAGACTTCGACACTGACTGTAAGCTTACTATGAGGTACTTGCACAAGGTCTGCTCAGGCTGCTATAATGGGATTCCGTAAGCAAGCGAAGTGCCACATCACTCAGAGATGCTCGGTATCCGGCTCAGCTTCGAAGGACGCCTGATCAGCAGCCGTCAGGCCAGGGCAACAAGCCGATCAATACATTCATGTGGGTAGTTGTCAAAAGTATGGTCCCTAATTGGGTACCCCAAATATTAGGTGCCGTATTCTATTACGTAAAGACCTAAAATGGGACCATAATTTTGACAACAACCCATGTGTTTCTTGAATGGGCCTTTGTCCCTTGCGGCGCGTAGACAGCCCATGATTGGGGCAGGTTTCGAGTTGAGGGTCTGAGGCTTAGGACTCCCGGGCCTCATCGAAGCCGTCCGGGACTGCATACGTCGTGGAGATGGCCTGCGGCAGCATTATGACACAAGCTCGGACAAGCCCAGGCACACAGCGAACATCCACAAGCACAACCTCGTTGATGTCGGCAATTTCGTCGTTAAGATCTGCCATATTGTCCATCAGCTTTTCCTCGTCACATTTTAGTCTTGTTACGTTTCCTGACTTGATGCTACATTGAGAGCTGTGGGCTTCATAAAGCTGGTCATGGTGATGTTGAAGGTAATGTTGCTGGTGATGAGGAAGCAGACGATGATGCTGCTGATCGTGATGATGGTGATGGTGACGGTGGGTGAGGATGACGGGTGCGGCTGTCAGGGAAGATGGCGCAGGAAAGCTACCTCCACTGTACCTTCACTGCGCTTTCTGAGCATCCCACAATGTCCATGACACCACCAATTTGCTGGTATCTTTCCTTCCTGTGACAGCATCCAGGTAGCTTCGGTGCGGGTCGAAACCGACATAATCATTTCTGGGCATTCCGAGAAACAAGCATGCCGGGAGCTCAGGTCTTGATGGCCCACTTTCATGGCTTCGACTGTCATGATGTTGATCTCTGCCTGTCCGCTCCGAGTTCAGTCACTCGATCAGAAAGCAGGGGCTACTGGGGCTCCCTTAGTGGGCCGAGGCAGCCAATGAATCCTCTACTCGCCAGTGTGGAAGGGTGCAGAGAGCTGCTGCTAACGAAGATCTTCTATCGAAGAGTTATCAGGATGAGTGAGTCTCCTGCAATGCTTCAGGCCTGAAGCTTCCGATGCTCTGACCCTCACCGTCGGGACGGGACCCAACCTGCTCTTGCGCGCCGGCCAGTGAGTCGACATTGAACTGCGTTCCGAGGATTTGATCCCGCTGCTGCTCGTACATCTTCTTCCTTCCCCAACACAGGCTGCCATGAAACTGCGTGATCAAAAACGGAGCTTCAGGGGGAAACAGTTCTGGGAAAAGGGCGTTTGCAAGCATATTGCAAACACGGATAGAAACTGTCCATATGCGATTGGCACGCTCTGCATTGAGTGCTATAACAAGTTCAAGCATCCGTCAACTGTCCCCTGGTCTGCATAACTCACTGCAGTGCCAGAACAAATCTTGAGCAACATGCTGTCTGCCTCTTCATGCACTGCAAAGCCAGCTGCTTTTGCTGTGCTGAAGCTCTTCCACCAACATATCTCCTGAGGTCCTGCATGAATCGCACACGTTGGAAGAAGCCGCATGCTCTTGAAGTGCAGGTACAGTAAGGTGTACTGTATCCGTCCTCATCACACTTGGCAATCTTCTTCTCAAGATCAGTAACCTGACTCTCTTGCCATCACTGAAAGGCATTCGCAGATTCGCACATGTCTTTGCTGTGGCAAGTCCATGGTCCCGACCCTGGAATCAATCCTCTGCGAAGTCTCTGAGAGACTGGGAGCAGGCCCTGGCGCTGGGGCCTCAGAGGTATCTATATGTATATGCAAATATACATGCATATGTGTGTATATATGTATAGATAGATTTTTTAGATATAGATATAGGTCTAGATACAGGTATATAAAGAGAGGGAGGGAGAGGGAGGGAGAGGGAGGGAGAGGGAGGGAGAGGGAGGGAGAGGGAGGGAGAGGACACGTTCATACGTATGTACTTGTTTTCGATACCCGGAGCTGCAAGTAGCTGTGCTGCTGACTGGCTTCGGCGCCCCGAACAAGCGCTTCATGGGGGCTGGAAAGAATTGACGTGTTCTGCTGGCGTAGCCTGCTTGTTATGGCAAAAAAGCAACAAAGCTCAGGGAGACAACTTACCGTACTGTAGCTGCCCCAAGCTCGATCGGGCGAAAGAGCTCTTGAAGCAAGGACTTCGGATCTCTGAGGCGTCGGAAGATGCCATGCACAGTTGCTCCTGCTAGGTGCTGGAGTGCCTGACATGACGGGCAGGTGCCACATCACAGAGACAATGCATGTGCATTTTCTGAGCTATTGCTGATAAGAGGTGGGTATAGCTCAGCTGTGGCGGCCCTTCGCTATTGGCCTTTGAATTCTCAGCAAGCTGCCTGTACAACAGTGGAACTGCACATCCCTGGAAATCGGCCTGCCAAGTTGCTTTGCCTCCGAAGGCTACAAATCTTTTGGACTTTTGCCAAAAACAAAGCAGCAGCCCTGTGCGGCTAGGCATCAATCGCGGCCGAACTGATCTGATTCAGACCGGCTCGCACAAGGATGATTTTGTAAAATTGCTGGCCCTGTAGATTCAACTAACTACGCATGCACGCATGCACGCTTGCTGCGTGCACTAGGGCTCTCCTACTGCCAGCGGGTGTGGCACATCATCTAAGTATGGCTGCGGCTCTTCTTCTTCAGTGGCTCTCACGCTGTTAGGGTCACTGTCCTCCTCACGCGTCATGTATAAGAAGCCGTAGATGATGACGAAGAAGGGAACACTGACCTCAACGCATGCCGGCCGAATCCTACAGCCCCTACCCTGCTCTCAAGGGCTCTGCAAGTGTGGCAGCCGAGAAACCACAGACATCATACTTCCGTTCATGATGATCAGGATTCCCATGAAATCATCGGGCTGGCTTCTCATTAAAGCTAATCTTCCCTCGAACATCAGCAGCAGGAGCAGCAAGCCCAGCAAGGCGGAGGCCAGCCATGGTTCCCAGTCTTTCAGGGTCGGCTCAAGTGGTGTCAGCCTTTCCACAAGAACGACCCCAACCTCGGCGTGCAGAAAGCTCTGCATTTTCACGCAGCTTTGGGCGTTAGTGAAAGTTCCATGTTGCCTTTGCGAGTCCGAGCGACTGAGGCAGTCAGCCAACCAATGAAGAGAGCAATCGGAACAGCATGCACGGAGAGGCACTTGAAGAATTCGCGGGTGAGGACGCAGCACCCCAACGATGCGATGCCCATTGCTATACATGTCATGCAAACAAGTTCCATGTGCAAAAGCGTCGCGAAGACCGACTCTGTCAGACTCCATAGCACTGCCGTGACGCATGTCATCACCTTTGCAGGCAATGCAAGGCTTCACATCAGACTGCGTAAGTCGAGACGCGTGCAGCTGCCGACGGAGGTGTGCCGAGCATGGCACAATCATCATAAGGTAGTTGTACGGGAAGCTGCTTCGGATGAGCCAGAGTTGCATGATCATCACCATGTCGCCGAAGCTCAGCAAGTAGTAGAGGCCCTGCGTAACACTGTGCCAATGTAGCGGATGCACAGCTGCTCAAGACAGCCTGAGAAACCGCTTTCCCGTACCTCAACCATGGCCGACTTCTTCACTGGCTGGCCATCCTTGGTTTGTGGCCCCTCTGGCCATCGACATATCAGGGCGCACTTTGGACTAAGTGCACGGACCCAAACGATTTGTCGGAGGAGTACCATCAGCGTGAAGCAGAGGCCTTGCCTGGGTACCATCGGAGTTCATGAAGCTTCTTCCATACATGTCCCTTCTTCTTTCCGTCTTTTGTCGGCCAAGCAGCTGGAGAGAAAGGAGGGCAAAGGTCTTGACCTCAGAAAAAAAACAGCATCGTGCAGACTAACCTTGAGTCTCAACCGAGGCCTCGGCACGAAAAGCTCGCTGCACATACATAGGCACTTCTTTGCCTACCTCTGAAGGAAGGAAACCGAGGCAAAGCTTTCGCTCACAGCGAGAGAGTACCTGCCCTTCAGCACTTGCCATGGCCTCCGGGATCCGCCATGTGGAAATTCGGCTCCTCGTTAGGAGAGCTACGTCTCCCTCTGCATCATGCAAGCAAGACTGAAAGCAAGTAAATGCCTCATGGACTTCATCGTGAAGCCTGCGCACCAGAAGCCGCAGCAAACGCGTGCCAGTATGAATCTCCAAGGACGGAATGGCCATGTCGGTCACTGATTCACTGCACTCTTTGACACCTCGGTCAGCTCCCCGCAGAGGGTTCGTAGCCGGCACCTGACACCCCAGAGCTACTATTCACAGTCTGCCTCCTTTCACAAACAAATGTCACAAACCACGCGAAAGAGACAAACTGCGAATCTGGCTGCCTGCGTCGCTTCTAAAGTAGTTGTCTGCACCTCGCCATGCGGAACACCCGTGCTGTGAACATCTCTCACTCCCGGCAGCTATCCGTTTCCGCACTGGTAACACGAGTCAAGAGGGCACAGTACGTCGATGACACATGCGAAAATAGATCCGAGTGCCTGTATCCTGTAGTTGTAGCAGTGGCAGTAGTATTCTTCGTCGTCGTGGACGTAGTATGAATAGGAGCAGCAGTGGCAGGAGCAGCAGCAGTAGCAGTAGCAGCAGCGCTGTTTGTGGTGTCCGAACCTACTATTGACACAGCTTGGGATCCTGGCATCTTGCGGAACTGGCGGCTGCAGCACCTCACTTCGAGCCTGCCGGTGCTGGTGGCAGCAAACATCCGCTTCACTGATGTGGTCAAGAAAGCATCGATGTGTAAAGGGAGCTTGGCTTCAGGGCTTACGGGTCTGAGATGGTTATGTAAGATCCATTTTTGGAGAAGAATACTGTGCCGAGGGTGCAAACAATGAAATCCGACCGGCCAGGACGTTCACATAATGCCAACCCTACCGTCAAAGCCAGGACGAGTCAAAGCTGAAATGACTCAAGCGCTTAGGGATGGGATGGTACACAACCGACACGCTAAAACCTCAACGCCTAGTATAGTACATTATACTATAGTATAGAATAGCATAGTATAGTATATAGTATTAGATAGTATAGTATAGTACATACTGCACTATCGTATAGTATAGTGGCAGTATAGCCTGGCTGTCACACCCGGAAAGAAAACTCAGAGAGAGAGGCCTCCTCTGCCATTACAGAGCGGATGGGCACAAAAAAGTTTCGAGCCGGTGCTTCGGACACGTCTTAGACTCTTTCGCTATTGCATTGTACTGTACTATACTATACTATAACAGACTTTGTTATACTATACTATACTGTACTATACTATAAAAGACTTTGTTACCACAGACTAGATCTTCCCGTCATGTATCACGCTTTACTACAGTTTACATTAGAATATAAAACATGCTATATGATGTCTGGTGAGTCATTGCAAGAACTGAGGCCAGTGAGACTGCACAGTAGAGACGCAAGAGGATCATGGCTTTTTGGGGATGTTTTGCCTGCCCGACAGGCTAGGTCAAAAGATACATTAACGGAAGTGGCCGCTTTTGTGCCAAACCTAGGGCTGCAACTTGCAAGCTGACACCATCTGCCAGTAGTACGCTAGTACAAACCGGTAACAGAATCTAAGAATCAGGGATGCTTAATCTTGCCATCTGTCTGCTTGAGTGAAACATCTCCACGCACCGGACGTGCAACCCCAGAGCTTCGTCTTGGACGAGCTCTATTCGGGCAATGTCTAATGTCTGTGTACATGGCTGTATCTGGGGATCTACTCTCGATCTACGCTGCTCCAGCACACGCATTGATCGGCCTACTGAGCATTCGGATCATGGAGAAACCATGGCTTGGTCTCTTCGATAAACTGGAAGATGCTGTTGGCAACCTCATAGAACAAGGGCAGATGCAAGAGCTGACAACAGCAACTCTGTTCCAACCTCCAGCTTGTCAGGGTTCTTATCAGGATGCCACCGCAGTTGAAGGCACCTCTCACTGAAAGAACTATTGCGCGTAGAACTACATCCGGGTGCATCGTGGACGGATAGTGTTTTGCGGCCTCAGGGCTTTCTTCCTCTTTGCAACCTCCAGGCCCTGCAGAGACCCAGGTCAAATGCCGGCGTGGCACGACATCTTCAGCTGATATAAGGCCTGGTTGACCATTGACTCCATCTCCTGAAGAACCCCCAAGCCCAAACTGCATTCATAGGCATGTGTTGAATGCAAAATGTCCGGCGAGACCCACCTTGAGAACGGAGCTCTTGATCTGGTACACGGCATGGTCCTCGAACCCGGCATCAAGCTTGGGAGGTGCCTGAGCAAGAGCCAGCTGATGCCCTTTGGAGCATATATCTCAGATATAGGGGCCGCTGCTGGTCCGCGTGGCGGCACGTAGCTGCCGGATTGTTCACTGCTCTGCGATCCCTTCGGCAAAGGGATGGACTATCTCAACTGTTGCGGCCCTGACACAGCAACTCTAGCCTTCTGTTGCTTTTGACCACCGGACCTGAACAAGCGAATAGGTTGCTCACATGGGTAAGCGACGGTCAAGGCAAGGTGGCATCTGTGTAATCGCACACAAACTCAGCAGCCAGCTTGCTCTGTTTTCCGGTGTCCGCACCTGCCTTGGCAGCGGAAACTTAGACTGATCAATCAATGAAACAACAAGATTGTGTGTGTGTGTGCGCGATAGTTTGCACATAAATCATCATCATAATCTAGTCTGAAAAATCCAACAGCTCAAAGTGAGCGAAGGAGCCATGTTTTCGTTTCAAGCACAAGTTAGTTTCGGCAATGTGCACGGATGCCGGCGTGGGTGCGGGTGTGGGTCTGGGTGCTGTTGTTGTCGCTGTTGCCTGTGGCAGTGGTTCGCTTTGTCCACGGTCAACAACTCTCTTGGGCTCAAGACTTTCTTCACTGGCTCCTCTAGTGAACACTCATGTTCGCCTACCATCATGTACAGCCACACTGGATTGGTCGGCGATCGCGCAGCCCCGGGAACAAGAAGTAGTTGTGCCTTGCATGCGCAGCTTGCATATAGATCTTGCTTGACATCTGGTCCTGCTTGACATCTGGTCCATGTGTGTAGCTTGAGTCAAGATAGATAAGGGTGGGTGAGGTACTTGATTGGTGGGCCGAATGCATGCCATATGTAGCATGAGCAGACCACGCAGCTAACGAAGCAGCGGCAGCACAGTGGCAGTACCAGCCGTAGCAGCAGCAGGAACGGCAACAGCAGCCGTCGTAGTGATGGATATCAACATGTGTGGGAGCTCCATCGGATGCGGCTGGTCGCTTCTGCAGAGTGGACTCTGGGGCGTCCATTGCGATTGGATGCTTAAAACGGCCTGTATACAGTCACACATGTGAGGTCACAAAAGAAATGCATGCTCCAGTCACTCCGGGCGCCTGAAAGTGTGGATCAGTACAGTAGCTGGAGGCACTCTTGCGACTACAGCTGTGAAGGAGTGTTGGGCATGAGCAGCAGGAGAGGGAGCAGTAGTGGCACTAGCAGTAGTCGTGGTCGCAGTGGCGGACCCAGTCCCAGCCGCAGTCGTGGTTGTCGTCATCTTCGCGTAGTAGCGTTGTCATTGTATAATGGTGATGAACGATGGTTAATCGAAATGGTGATGGTAATCGTGGTGGTGATGGTGATCGTGATGGTGATGACGGCCGCGACGTTGGTGATGGTGCTGGTGATGGCGATGGCGAAGTTGGTGACGGTGATCGCGATTGTGATGACGATGACGATGGTGATGATGGTGATGATTGTGAGGATGGTGACGGTCGTAGTGATGGTGATTGTAATGGCGATGGCGATGGTGATGGTGATTGTAATGGCGATGGCGGCGATCGTGGTGGTGATGGCGGTCACCATCACGATGATGTTGATGGTGACAGCCATGCTGATGGAAGGTGACGGTGCTGGTGATTTTGATGGTAATGGCGATCACGCCAATGTCGATGAAGATGGTGATGGAGATGCATGGCGATCGCAATTTTGGTCATACCAGTGGTGATAACCACATTGAAGGTGATGCTGATGGCGATGGGGATCAAGATGCTGCTGCGTAACAAAACCTCGCGCATCATTCTGTTGCAACACCCACTGCAAGCGTTCAAACCATGCAACAGCAACGTTATGGCCCGGACGGTTCCGGCCCCGGCAGCTCCTGCAGCTCCCTGCTGGGAGTACCACTGCGTGTACTGCTGGTACCACCTTGGCTCTAATATACTGCGGCTTCTGACGACATTGAACTGGGGCAGATGGTACTGCGAGCCCTGCTGTTGCCACTCCTGCTGCTGCTTGCGGGTCTCCTGCATATCTTTGGCCATGCATGCGTCCGTCTTTGCCAGATAGGTTGATGCTCACTTGACAGAATTTCTGCAACTTCTTGAACACTCTTAACCTCTCAGAGCCCTCTGTCAAGGCCAGCATGTTTTGGCAATTTCACAACGCGGACGTGCATGTTGTCTGCAAAGTGGTGGCAGCGTGACACCCAGAGAAGTGCACGACTCTTGCATGCTCAGCACCGATGAGACCATCTCCAAAGTAGAAAGCTGCAAAGCTCCTCCTCCTGCTGCTTCCGAAGGTCAGCCCATGGCTCGTCCTCACAGGCGGCTACGACGGCTATTAGGGCTATGAAACTTTTGGGAGATCGAGCTGGCACTTCTCTAGACAAGCCCTCTCCCTCTCCCTTTCCTCCTTTTCTTGCTGTGTGCCTGGCAACAGCAGAGGCTGCGAAGGATGCTGCTCACATATTCCGTGGCCTTGCTGGCCAGCTGCAACCTGGCAGCTCTCTTTCAGCTCGGCCGACTGTGAGACATCTGCATTTGGGCCCCTGGCCGGTTCTCGGCTGGTGGCCCCTGGCGGCAGCGACCAGGCCTGATTGACCGCAGACAGAAACAGCTCATCGATCCTGCTGCTCTGCTCCCATGCCGGCAGCACCGTATGATTCGTTCTTTCGTTGTGGTAGTACACTTGCCCGTCTGGGGTTTTGTACCGAACCCAGTCGGTCGGAGGCTGCTGAGGTTCTGCATCCTTTTGCTCCTTTGGCCGGTCCGAATGTCCCGGATTCCGCTGTTGCTCCTCGTATCTTTCCCGTCGACTCCTCTCGGCTTCTTCTTGCTGACGCTGTGCTTCCTGCTGCTGTTGCCGCTGGGCCTCCTCTCGGTGTAGCTGAGCCTCCTGGTGGTGCAGAAACGCCTCTTGCTTGGCGCGCTCCCGCTGCAGGGAGACCTGCAGAGGAGTCTGCATGCAGAATCTCGCCCCAACAAACACACTTTGCCACTCCTTCGGCCCAGAACCGGAAGGCCCCGAGTTGGAAGGAACACCAGGCATGCCGGCCTCACAAGGATTGGTGCTACGAGTCTCCAGAGGCACACTCAAGCGCTCCCCCGCCGGAACGAAGGGAGTCTCGCTTGGCGCAGTGCGGCCAGGGGCATCCTCACCGACACATTGAGGCTTTACTGTGATCCCAATACAAGTCACTATAGTTACTTGTATCAACTAGGCCAGCACTCTTATCAGTCCTGGCCGGTGGGCGCAGCTCCGGTAGAAAAGGACCTTTGCAAGAGTGGGTTCTAGGCTGACTCTAAGCTGTCATAACCCTGCCCCATCTCAGACGGAGGCCCAGAACGATCCAAGCCCTGTGAGAGCTTACAGGAAGAGGTCTCTCACCCCGAATCAGTCTGTGCTGGTGCACATTGCTTCGCTTCACGTCGGGCCTCCGGTCGTGTGAAAACCTCCCGGGTGGCATGCGGCGCCCTGGCAAGGCCAGCCAAAACGAGAGCAACGTCAAGTGCTGCTTGAGCATGTGTGCACGACTGAGATCGGCACGGGTACGAGGCAGTGCGAGCGGCTTCGGTCTTGCTACGGTCCTCTGCCTGGCACGATTCCATGCCGACCTCAACCCTTGCAATATATAAACAGCAAACCAACATGCATGTATGCACGAATGCATGCATGCATGCATGCATGCATGCATACGTCGTGTGTGCGTGTGCATGCATGCATGCATGCATGCATGTATGCAGGCAGGCAGGGATGCATGAACGGATGAATGCATGGAGGAATGGATGGACGGATGGACCGATGGACGGATGCACGGACGGACAGACGTGTGTGTGTGTGTGTGTGGGTGTGCATGTATGTAATGTAAGGTATGATTTAAGGTAAGGCAATGGATGTACGCATGTACATATGCAGATACGTATGTGTATGCGTGTGTATGTGTATGTATGTGCATGTCTGCATATGTATGAGTACATGTGCGTGCGTGACTGTATGCCTATGTATATGCAAGTATTCAGCGTATGTGCACGTGTGTATAAATGTGTTTGTGTGTGTGTGTGTGTTTGTGTATATATATATATATATATAGATATAGATATAGATATAGATATAGATATAGATATAGATATAGATATAGATATAGATATAGATATAGATATAGATATAGATATAGATATATATGTGTATGTGTATGTGTATGTGTATGTGTATGCGTATGCGTATGCGTATGCGTATGTGTATGTGTATGTGTATGTGTATGTGTATGTGTATGTGTATGTGTATGTGTATGCATGTATGCATGCATGCATGTATGTATGGGTGTATGTATGTAAGTATGTATGTATGATTATGTATGTATGTGCACGTATGTCCGGATGTATGTCTGTACGCCTGTCTGCCTGCCTGCCGGCCTGCCGGCCTGTCTGTCTGCCTGCCTGTCGCTGTCTGTATCGATGTCTGTATGTACTCTAAAGGTACTTGTACATGTGTATGCGTATTTGTATGCGTATGTATGTGTATGTATAGGCACATGTGTATCTGTATCTGCATATGCATATGAATACGTATGTACATGTGTACGTGTATGTGTGTGTATGGGTGCATGTACCTATTGGTGTATGCGCATGGGTAGGAGTATGCATAGCATATGAGCAGGTTTATGATTATGTGTGGCTGTGCACCATGCGACGTGGGTTCCTGCCCCATGGTATTCCCCGAACTACAAGGACCGCCTTCCGCAGGGGGAGGGAAGTTGGCATTCCGTGGCATTCCTAATACACCGAACGACCGCCGCAGAGCATTCGGGGGAGCGTCGAAAAACCCAGCTGATCCATTCCACGTTCCACAGTGTCATCGGAGGGGCGAATATCAGACCTTCGCATCAGGATGTATTTTGTAAATTATGTAAGGGAGACCATGGGGGGAGAAGAGGAATGACCCTCCCTCTTGCCGATGCCGTGCTGCTGCTGTTATAGTTATAGAGTTATAGTCTACAGTGAAGCACGAGAATTGTGCTGTCATGAGTTATCTGATGACGACTGTGCGCCATTCTCTCCATCAACACACATGCTTTACATCTGTACGCAAGCATCCTCAAGAAACAAATGATTCTGCTTACCAGGAGTGCACCTCTTTCTGCATCCTGCGAAGCTGTGGCGGGTCATGCGACAAACAAGCAGAGATGAGTCCAACTGGCAAGGTCCTCCCCAGATCCTGGAAGGATGGAAACCCCGCCGGTCCACTTGGTGCCTGATGCATATATGGATGTAGAGATACACATAAGATTTGTGTAGAAGACAAGAAGCCGGCCTGGCGAGGGAGTGTGTTCCCTGCACCTGAGCCAAAACGGAGACTCGCAGCTACAGTAATTCAAGAAGGGCTGTGAGGGTCTTGCTCGCTGCTCCAGACTCTGCCCGGCTTTGATCTTTGGAGGCCTCATCCGCACGGAGGCACCAGGACCATGAGAAAAAGCCTTCCACTCATCCTCCACCTCTCGTGCTTGCGCCGCTCCGGCAGCTGGCTTACGCAGATCTTCTTTCATTCCCTGCCACCAAGAATGGCACGTTCTGGACCGCTGGAGCTGCTGTAACAGCTGTGTTGGCCTTCACCTCAGGATACGCTGCAGCATCCGCCTTCATGCAAGACGCCGCACGGTTCGCGACAGTGCAAACCGGTGCTGCAGTCAAAGGCAGGACCTTTGTCTGCTGCGCATTCGACTTCTGGAGGTAGCCGAAGTCCTTGGGGGCCGCGATGTTTGGGAAGCGAAGCGCGGTGCGAGTGAGGACGCTCAGAATAGGCTTGCGGCAGGTAGCCCCGGCGGTGCCATGGGCTCCTGCTCCAAAACATGGGAGTTTCCGAAAATTTGGCTCGGCCCCGGCCGAAGCGGTCAGAGGTTCCCATTCGGATTCCCTCTATTCCCCACCTCTTAATCCCCTCCCGTGCTATATTACAGTGCGGCCCCCATATTCAATCAGGACCTGGCCTTCAGCTTCACCTCCACTTGCTCGGTGAGGCTTTGATGCTGCTGCCGAAGCTCCTTGCCAGTCACTCCAATGAGGTGAAGATCCCAGGATTGAGGATTTGTCGCCTCAGGGTTTAAGAAAAAGGGCTCTGATTTTCTGCGGCGTAGGGCCTTTCCTCACCCTCCGGCCTCCTGGGCTTGTGCAAGGCCCTCCTCGGTCGTAGCCACACGCTTCTTGGCCTCATACGCTTGGCACAGCATGTGAAAGGCACAGAATACGTCGCCACGTAACAAACAAAGGACGCGGCCTCCTCGATCTCTTTGAGAGCTGACCGCGCTGCGATCTGCTGCTGCGAGCTAAGAGGGACGAGCTTCTCGTACCTTTGTCTTAACAGAGCAAGGCCGAACACAAATATAACTTCAAGGTCGGGTCACTCTGTGCTGACGATGGTGCCACTTGTTGACATCCGGACCTGCAGGATATCACGACACCCGTCGTGCCGGACACAGCTTATCTAGAAAAGCCTCAAAGCAAGGAGGTTGGACATCCATCTGCACCTGTTGCTCATGTCACACCATCTAAACATGTGATGCATGAGAAAGGGAGCAAAAAGCCGTGGGCACCATGCTGAGTTCACAGAAGCCTTTGCCCCGTCGAACCGCCATGTCGCCTAAACAACTCGAAAGCTGAAGACGACGACAAGCAGAAGTTGCAGTAGAGGTAGTCGCCTAGCTTCCAACGCACGTTCGCAGTGCTGGCGCCGGCCTGCTCGGTTTGAAGTGCGGATCACAGGATCTTGTGCCGCCACCGCTTTCTTGCATGGGCCTCGCCTCTATTTTCCGCCGAAGCTCCTCCAAGGCAGTCTGTTTCTCCTCGAGACTCGAGGAGGCGCTCTCCGCCTGAGGCGGATCTCGCGGCCCGATCTGCTTCTCAAAGCAGCTCCCTGTCTGCCTGCTGCTGCAGCATGTTCACCCGCTTCACCGACCGCTCCACGGCATCCTGCAGACGTCGTGCTGTCGCTGCACGTCGCTGCGCAATTCCGCGCAAGGCGCATTTCGACCATGGGCCTTGAGCTCTGCAAGGCCGAAGAGAGAATTCATGTCCTGCTTGCCCTGACAACCGCAGAGGCCAAAACAGCTGAAGGCAACAGCTCTGAGCACCTTGATGCCACCCTTCCGGGCCATCAAATCATCCCACACCTCGATTTCTCTTTCTTGATACCCTAGACCCTAAACCTGGGTATCACCTTCTTGCACCGATTCCTCCACAATCGCAATGGATGCCAAGGCCTAAGCCTTGTTTGCCGCATCGGCGAGGCCAGAGAAGCCCGCCAGGTCAGTGTCTTCGTCTTCGTCCTGCTTCTTCCGAACTCGGACCCCATTATAAAGATGACTATCACTGTTGCTACTACGTGAATACAGACACCCCTTATACAAAAACCGAAAGAGTAGGATCCTGAAATAAGGTACTCGTAGCCCCTTATTCTCTCGCTTCCGCTTCTGGCACCCTAAGCTGCCTGTGCCGTGCTCGACGGGGACGTAGGAGCCTTGTGCACAGGGACTGGGAGACATACGAGGAGGTCCAAGTTAAAGATCTCAGAACTTGCTTCGGATTTGCTCCAGAGCCCGGGTACACCTCACCAAACACATCGCGGTATGGGCCAGGTGGACATAGTGTATCGTCACAAATCCATGTCTGCACGGTTCAATCACCCCATCACCCTGACAATGAGGTTGGAAAGCCTCTCAGATGCTGATTTGCTTGCAATCTGTCTCAATCAAGCTCCGCCTCCGGCCAACAAGATGATTGACTATGAACAAGACCATGATGCAGATGCTTCACGACGTCAAGGACACTCCCAAAGCCAACTTCGAGCCAAAGAAAACTTGAAGTCTCAAAGCCCCAAAGAACTCCGTAAGCGAATCAACATCTCGCCCTCTAAGGACTCGACGTTGGTGCCGGGGCCTCCCTTGCTACTGCTGGCCAGACCAATGCCCTTAGCTGACTCGACTGCAGCGATGAGAGGTAGCCCTGTGTGACGTCTTTGAGGCAGCGGCGGGCGAGCTGCTCGCCGCACCGGCTCCGCTCGCTCCGCTCAAGCCACCCAAGCCCTTGGGCCCGCCCTAAGCCAGCTGCACTGAGATCTCTCTCCAAACGCCAGAAAATGCCCTGAGACCATCTGGGCCGCTCACCGCCAGCCAAGTCTCTGCAGCTTTGGCAGCATCTTTGGGTTGGGGAGCGGCCTGGCCCGATCATGTCAGCCCAGAACCCTTCGATATCCTTCCTTCCCAAGCGGTTCTGCTTCTGGCACCGGCAGTTCCACTTTTTTCATGGCTGGCGACTCGATCGTTTGCCATCCGAAGCAGATCTGGATGTCCGAATGCATGGCTGGTCCTTGCTGCGCTTTCGGCAAGATTGAAGAGATGTTGATGACAGCGTCATACACATTGCACCGGAGTTCTCTGGGTGTCCGACAAATATCGACCACGACTGGCCCGTGAACGAGCGTCTGCACAGACATGGAACTGCAGTGCAACAAAGTAAACAACCTTGCTCCCCATGCAAGCTGCTGCTGTGTCGAAATACAGCTTCCTGCATGCAACATGTCTTGGCGACAGCAACCCTGATGCAAACCCAACTTTCCAAATTATCAATCCAAAAACTAATCATCTGAGTCTGAGGTTGATCTGAGCATCAAGCTCTCTCCTGTCGGCCACCTCAGATTGCTAACAAAGCCACAGCAATCCACGGTCCCGAATCATCGCTCATGGCGTGTCGGTGGCTTCATCAAACCAGATTGACGATGTCTTCGGTCCAGTTCAGTCACGTGACTCCCGCAATTGGCAGCGTTGATCAAGGTTGTGGAGGCGGCCCTTGGTGCTGAGCACATCCACAGATACGGCAAGCGATAGCAAGCGCACCGATCTTCCAGAGTGAACCAGCACCGTGCAAAGGTGCTGACTTGGAAGAACGATGTCTCAGCATCGCCGCCCCTGCAAACAGATCAGCAGCACGGAACGAACGGGTGAAAGACGCAGAGGCAGCCCGACCAACCTCGAGCAAAATGTATATGTCCAGAAACCACGAGCTTTGGCTGAATTATGCCCACGGCCTGCCAGGGTCTTCCTCTGTACGGCACCTAAGCCCCGACAAATCACAGCTCTCCTTCAACAGAGCGGGGCATCCTTTGTCTCCGTCTGCACAACCTTTCGCGGGCCCATGAGCCAGCAAGACATCCTCGCACGTCCAGGTCACATTTAGGGTTTATATAGGTTGAATCCTGTTCCAAATCCCCATGTCGGGTTGTTGCTCTCTGCGTGCGGGAGGCGGTGCCCTCTGAAATTTGGTCGAAGTAGGGATTGTCACCTGAGCCTTAGCGACACAGCACTTCAAGGGTCTGAAGACTCTGCACCTCCTCTTCCTACGGAGTCTCGGGCAGGGCCAGAAGAAGTCAGTGCCGAAGAAGCGAAGCGGCGCTTCGGAACCTGGCACCTGCGCTATAGGCAGGACTTCTACAAATGGTGCAAAACTCTGCTTGAATCTATTCCGACAGACTGTAGTAAACCAAACAGGCACCCCGTGCCCTGATGTCTCTTCGTACAAGAGCCTCCAGATCGTAGGCTGACTGGCGGAGAAGTATGGCATTGGAGAGCCTTCGTGGTGGCGTGGTCAGGATGCGCCTCTCGCGAAACTGTGCCAAGAGTCAGACACCTCCTCTGCCTGTTGGGCCCAAGGCCTGGCGTGGGCAGAAACATTCAGAGTCCCGCTGCAGTCAAGCCCATCGAGCCCATGACGCATTGGCTTCGTGGTTTCCCAGAATGACGAGCTTGGTTTTGTGCCTGGGCAGTGCTTCGACTCCTCTCGGCCTCGGCCTTTCCGACACAGCTGAGAATGGGGCGGCTGATCCGCTAGCCCTTGGCGCCGTGCGTGTGCGTTGTTTGAGGCCGTTGGATGATGATGGACAATCTTATGTTGTGGTGGTTCTTTCCGGAGGGAGCGTTACAGTGGGAACAGCTATGGACCCGATGCTGAGCCGAGTCCTGAACATTTGTTGAAGTCGTGCGCCTGGTCCTCTCGCCCGTATTGGGTGAAATCGCCGGCGTGGACTAAGACCTGAGCCACACAAGATCTCGCCTCGATCTTGTGGCCCTTCTCTGGAACCCTTATTTTACAAATGCACACTGCATAATGCGGGCACGACTGGGACACTGGGACAGCTGCATCCCCATCTGGCAGCGTCAGCTGGCGGTGTGAGCCGTGGGTGTCGCTGATGCAGACCAGACGAAGCCCCCTGAGCGTCACAAATCGTTGGCATCGAAGCAACTTCAGGACCTGGAATGTGCCTGTCCTCTTCTGGGCGGCTGTCTCTTCAACACGCTGGCATCCCAGCGCCTCGTCACCACAACTCACCATTATCTTGAAATTGCGAGCGTCTGCTTTGCAGGAAGAGTCAATTGCCGAGAGGCACCTCGTCCTGTACGAAGTTCAAGCACTGCGGCCTGTGCTATTCTGACATCAGCAGCATCCAACCATCGTGGAGTCAACGACATCACTGGACTGGACCTGTCCGGATGGTGACGGCGACGGCCTGCACCCGCGCAATCTGAAAGTCGAGGTGGAAGCGGTCACGGCAGCAGAGGTGGCGGTGGGCGGCGGCGGCGGCGGCGGTGGCAGCTAGTGCCGCGCCGGGGCAGCAGCGGTGGAGGAGGATTGACAAACATGACAGCAACAGCCGTAGTCGGAGTAGCACAGTTGGGTGAGCAACAGCAGCACGAGGAGGAGGGTAGGAGGAAGAGGAGCTGCACTAGCTGCAACGGTCATCGCAGAGAGCTTCGGCATCTGAGTTCCCAGCACCACTCCATCGCCGCAACGATGACCATTGCAAGGACAATTGCGAGAGTGCTCTCCCAAGCCTGACATCACAGGTGGACGTTGGTTCTGACATGTTCTGACATGACTTGGACAGGGGCCCCTGACATCAGAGCTGCTACCCGGAAGCATGACTGAGATCTATACCATCCAACAAGAATCCTGCAATGAACCATTCGAGCGGAGGGAAAAAGATCTTGCACTGGATAAGAGAATGAAGCTCCCAAGGGACAGTTCGAAGTCCACATCTCTAATTCCCCGACATTCTGTTTGGGCTACACGGCAAGGAATGAAGCCGTTGCAATCAGGGTCGGATCCCTATCGCGTTTTCCGGGGCTGGGCTGCACCAGCGCTTCAGCTAAAATCAAGACAATCCTCAGCCAATTACGAATCACTTGAAAACCGCAGAAGGGCCTCCATTCTGCCCGAAGGGCAGCACGGCGACGTGGTGCATATCAGCTTTCACAAGTCTAGAGTGTAGAGTCAGGTTTCATGGCTCTCCTGCAACCACAACATGCGCTTCTCTTTGTGTGTGCGCGTGCGCGGTTGAGTGTGATCGTGTCTTCTACTTGTCTGCTCGAATTGGGCAATGTGACATGAGGCTGTGATTGGGCCAGCGAATGCTTTAAGAACTTGCAAGATCATTATATCATTATAGTATGTTATAATATAGTATCATGACAGTATATTGTAGTATTATAATGCTGCGAATTCCGGGCCTTCTCTTTGGCTGTGCCTCCCTTCTGCTTGGGCTTGCGCCAGGAGTCGTTGTCAGCCTTCTGCAAGGCCACCACAACCATGCCCCAACATGGTAGCTACCAGTAGCACCTCTGGTCGTGTGCGATAGCGCCTCACAACTCACCGGCAATGCATACAACACCCATCAGCATCTAAGGGGATCAGCTGGGTTTCGCGACCTGAGAACTCCATTTCCCATGATGTCATGGCAAGGTCACAGCATGCTCAGGTCGCAACCTGCAATCCTTATCCTTATCCTTGCTGCTCTTATCGTTCTTATCTTCCTCCAATCTCAGCCCCGGCGAACTGTTGACGGGTCTTGGGTGCTAAGTACCGCATCAGCTTCTAGGATGTTTCCAGCAGAACTACAGTTCATGACCATTCGCAAAGATACGCTGACAAACAAAAGACATGTCCACATTAGCAAGCAATGGCTGCGACAGACAGGAAGCGCAGCATATCGAACGATAACAGCTCCAACTTCGAAGTGGCTCAGCGAGATACTCGGATCCAAAGGCATATCAGGAACGGAAGAGGTCATCGGCTCTACGACTGCGCGAGAATCTTTGCTCACAGCCGGATCAGGAGGAAAGGTGCTCATCGGCGAGCGCTGCAGAGATTCTTCCAAGTAGTCATAGGCGAGCCTTTGGCTGCCTTTCGCAGCTGCAGCCTCGAAGAAGAGGAGAAGTGATCTGAGCTCCAAGAAAAGCGCGGTCCTTCTCCATGAGGTTCACCATGTTGTCAGTTGCCGCGGAAATCCCCAGATCGGCCCATGGCGAAGCACAGTGACTTCAGAGGCCGATGAGCTTCACCCGGCCGGCGCTTGACGAGTGCTACGAGTACATCCCCGTCCATCATGGCGACCATGTCGCGAAGGGCATCTCTGCACGATGTCCAAGCGCTAAGGCTTTAGGCTCTGGCGTTCGCTGTCTCGCTGCTCTTGTCGAGCCTCTTACGTTGGGCGCTGGCTCATCACAAGAATTGCACCTCCTTCGTGACCTCTGACGATGCTGCGAAGCCTGAGCGCAAAGGGCTGCCAGCTTAGCTCATCTCCACAGCAACAGCATGCGACTGCCCCGATGGTGCCAATGCAGCTTGGGCGTCCGGTCGAGCAGTGGTGCATCTGCGGGCCAGGCTTCCCGCAAGGAGCAGTAAGAGCATCCTTGCAGGCGAAAAGTCTTCGAGGTTCACGACTGCTTTCCAACTGAAACCGACCCAGGATCGATCTGACTGGCACGCCGTTTCTATGACCATGTGCCTCGGCAGGCAGGCAAAAAAGGGAAGAGCACACACTCCTTGTGACTGCATGAACCCACTTTCAAGCTTCTGGGCTGAGGTCGAGTTGCTCAGCGGTGCCGGGGACTAGTCCGTGAGCGTCCAGCTGCTCCATAAAGCGACAGCCTTCGTCACAGGCACCGGCGCTTCACGGGATCTTCAAAACGACTGAGTGCACGGCTCATATCTGCATCTCGAATGGCAAGGGAGACGGCCCAGCAACCTCCTCGCACCAGTGTAATCGCAGAAGTGGAGAAGAATGGGGCAGCAGCTACGATTTTGATCTATGGCGCAGAATGCCACGCTGAGCAAAGTCCTGGCTTCAACCAGCGCTGTATAACTTTTGGCAGGAGTACTGCGTGGTGCTCCTCATACACAACCTTACTGGCTCTGGCCCCGCACTGCATGACTAGGGCCCTTTGCTCTGCAGCTAAGTCACATCGCTTGCCAGCGCCAGGTCGAAGCTGTTCAGCTGCTCATTCTCCAAGCGCTCCCAGTCAGAGCTGGCTGCAGCTGCCACGTTTTCTGGCGAGCCCAAGTCAATGGAGCAGGAGAGGTCGGCACCAACGTCGGAGATCCAATCAAGAAAGCGGACCTGAAGAGCTGCGCTCTTCGGGAACTTCGCCCTCAACTTCGTGGTGTGTGCTGCCAAGTTCTTCAGATGACCCGGTAGACAGTCGGTGAGGGTTGTGTCATATCCAACGGCGTGTGCAGCCAGCCCCGCCAGGCCAACGCCACATCCGAACTCGATGGCCTTCAAGGACCCCGCCCGCGCCGAGCACTCAGGGATGAGGCTGTTGGGTTCGGCCACTTTGAGTGCCAACCATAGGGCGGAAGGTGAGAAGCGGCAACCTGTCCATCCTTCAGCCAGTCAGAGGAAGCTACTGCTAATAGGCTAAGGCACTATACACCGTTTCCGACACAAGCCAGAAGCATTCGCTCTATAAGTCTGGTACTCCCTGAGGGCTTCTGAACCTCTCAGCTGCTTGCGTGCCCTTTCCTACTTGCGATATTCCGATATTCCTGGAAGGCTCATGAACAACATAGTATCGCATAACTTCCCTAACACGAGCGCTTCTTGTAATCTTGAAGACTTTGCATTTCGTGCCAAAATCAACACGAATCGAAAGATGCACATGGGCAATACGACCCAAAGTTTGCGTCGCTTATACCCGCTGATCTCGTTTCGGCATTCCCCTGCCTTCTGCCATGCTTGTCTCCTGCACCTCGACGACGGGACCGGCAGGCGCGATCTCCACGGAGACCGCCAGGCATTCGCCCCCTTCTCGACCAGCCTTCTTGCTACAAAGCAGTCGCATGCGAGAAGGATTAGCAAAGCAGCGTTTCATAAAGGTGGACGCATTGTCGTGCGACACATGGCGAGATGCCATGGCGGCATTGGCATCTAGATAGGTAGACAATGCAAGAACGTGGTCATGCTGTGGCTTCAGTGCTTGCGATGTACGGGGCTGACGGCTGGTCGCATCGCAGCGTCACCACGTTTCAAAGCTAACTCGTGCTCACTCAGCCGGCTTGGCTTCCCTTAAGTCGTTGACCACTGACCACACAGAAGCCGTCTCGGCACACCCGCCAGAGCCATGGTGGGCTTTGATTTTCCGACAGGAACCAACTCTGAGTGCACGCGCTCTGCAGCGCATTCCCTCGACAGGCCGCCCCCCACCCGTGGAATTTTGGACACCTTCTGGTTTCATCTGGTTTCTGCATTCGCGAGTCCGATCTCTTGGCTGCCTCTTGACGGATTCCATGGGGGGGAAAAGCTGGATTGCACGACGCACCTGCATCCAGCTTTGCCTGGACAACTTGTGTCTCATCACTTACAAGTTCCTACAAGCCACATGTTTGTACAGCTCTGGCCAACAAGCTGCCAGTTACAGAGTTGGCAACGCTCCCAATTCAGGAGCAGAGGAAAATCATTGCGGCTTCTCAGGAACGGTGCACTAGCGTTGCACCGGGTCAGACATGCGCCAGATGGTCTGGATCCTTAATAACCGGGCTATCTGTCGCATGTGGTCGCATCACCCCTTTTCTGAAAAAGGTTGCGACCCTCGGGCAAGGTGAAACGCATGAGCCACTTCCACATACTCCGACAAACGACAAAGCATGACGGAACTGACCTTTTCACGGCTTCCTCAGCGAGTTTTAAAACATCTTTTTCAAGAGCTTCGGAATTGGCTTAGCGAGCTGAATCGTTTTCCGGGCCTTCAGGCGTCGGTTCTCTGAGGTGTGAGGTGCGACGCCCCGGTGTCCTGAGCCAGCGGTCAAAGATGAACGGCCAACAAAGGAGCCAGGCACCAAAAAGGAAGACAGAAGCAGAGGAATCAAGAGCGAGATCAAAGCCTCGACGGCTACTCGCAGTGCTACTGCCGTTTGTCTGTCGGAATACAAAGGTCTCAGAGCGACAAACGGCTTCGGAATCAGGGAGAGACTTGTCTTGATCGTTACCGGTTTCCGCACGCCACGTCCCAAAACGAACAGAATGCGAGTTCAGGACAGCAACACAGCAAACTACGCAGGCAGTTCAAGCGGCTGCAGTCCAAAACACCTCACCCTTCTGCAAGTGTCCGAGCTGGGTGTCTCACTCGTCTGGACCATTTTCGATCTCCTGCATCTGCTGCGCTGCAGAGTCCTGACTTGAGGCCCCCAGCCCCCCCCCCCCTCCTCTCGACTTTCTACTCGCTTTCCGGTGCTGTCCTCAGGCAGAGCAGCTGCTGCCTTGGTCAGCGCCCACGCGCTGGGCTCCGGTTTTAGGTACATGCACATAGAAAGGTCCGGCCTGCGGCTGCGCAGGTGCAGCTGCCCCGGCCGCGGCGTCCGCAGCGGTAGCCTGATGGCACAACGTTGAAAGGCCCCAACAACGGGCTCGTGGTCGACTTCTGGGCCAGCGGCGGCTTCGGGAGCTGACGAACCGGGCAAGGCGCCTCGAAGGTCCAGGTGTGCTAACGGACCAAGGGCCCCTGACTGAGCCGCCTGCCTCGGCTTTGATCTCGGGCTTTGCCCCGAGCGGATGTGGGAAAGTACACCTCGGCTTCAAGGGAGCACAAAGGAGCACACACGGTAGTCACCGCGGGCTCCGGGGGAGTCTCAGCGCGGCGCTCGGGCACTGCAGCCTCCGGGCTGCGCAGCTCGGTCGGGCGCGGGGGCAACGGGTGAGCTCGGAGCGCCTCTGCAGCTGTCTCCGTCCGTCTCTGTTGCAGCATTGGATTTTGGTGTCTGATCGTGTCTGCTCTCAACCGCACTCCAGCGCTGAGGCCACGTCTCCGACGTTCGATCAGGGCCTTGGTTACCATTATTACTATTTTATTGTTATTGCTAATATTACTATTTATAAGTATTATTACTATTATAACTATTATTACTATTATAACTATGGCAGCTGAGGACATCGCGGCAGAAGCCTGGGAGCCGAGTCCCGCGCGATCTCTTCGTCGGTGAAGCCTTGAGCTCGGAAAGCGCTGTCAGAACGGCAGCGATTGCTTGGAAGTGCAGCATGAGCGGCCTGCAGATCTGAAATCTACAAGCTTCCATATGATAATTCTTATATACATATACAAGTAGTATATAATATATATAGTGTATATAATATACCACAGCTCTGGGCTCGAGGCCTCCCAGTTGGTAGAGCGGGTATCAGCTGAACATCGAGACACTTGTCCTAGCCATGTACGGAGATCCCTCCTTGACTGCTTTGGAACCCGGCGCCCGGGTAAATCTCGTGGTCTTGGTTTCGGCAAGTGATATTCATGGAAGCACCCTCACGACGCTTTGGCACTCAGAGACTTGTCGCTGCCAGGGTTCGTTTCAGACCGGCGAGGTTTTGACCATGTACGGAGTCCAGTATTCAGGGTGCAAGGGAGACACACATTATCTCTGTGCCCTCACCGACACTTTGATCATCCCACGGCCACCGGTGAACGGAGACTCGTACCGATTGATCAAGGACATAGGTGCAGGCATCGGCGGCATGGCCTTGGGCACCCTCCTCTTGGGTGGCCATTGTATTGCTTCACTTGATCGCAACGCCATCGCATGTGCAACTTTGCGCCGCCAGTTTGATACTGTGCTTGAAGGAGACATAGCTTGTGCAGCCATCCGACAACAGTTGCATCAGGTGCAATCGGAGCATCGCTGTCTGGTTGGCGCCAGCCTATCCTTTAAGGGGTTTCTTTCGGGTTTGGGTTCGGGGTCTATCGGTCCCACCGGCTTCCCTCTTGTGCCTCTTTTACAGTTTGTGTGGCATTCACAAGCCAGCGGGCTCGTCTTGGAATGTGATCCACAATTTCTTCAGCATGAGGAGGTGCAAATGACTTTGCGAGCTTTCGCCTCCAAAGCAAGCTACAGCTTTTCCCAGACTGTTCTGGACTTGTCGCACCAGTGGGCGTCTCAGCGCACTAGATGGTGGGTGGTTTTGCTCCCCATCCATTTGCCTGGCTTCCGTCTGCATGCCTGGCCTCACTCTGGTGAGCCATGGCTGGTTAAGCATGTCCTCGCTGAACTGCCTTCATGGCCATTGGCTGAGGAACAGGCTTTGGAATGGACCGCCGAGGAACAAGATGCCTACGACAATCCAGCCTATGGCGGCTCGGACAGAACGCTTGTGAGTACTGCCCCTGCTCCCCTCGTGCAGCACAGTTGGGGAAATGCCCTGCAACCGTGTCCTTGTGGCTGTCGGCAACAGCCACTCAGTGAAGAATGCCTACGCCTGCTTGGGCTTCCAGGGGTAGGGGTGCCTTCGACAGTTACTGGGGCCATGCGTTTCCTACATCCCAAAGAGGTCGGCCTCCTCAATGGTTTGCTCCCGACCCACCCGTTACCTGCCGGTGCCAGGACAGCTTTGTGTTATGTGGGCCAGCTAACTTCGCCATTGCAGGCTCTTTGGGTTCAGGCCTACATTATGGCGTGGGCGACTGAGGTTTTCGGCGGGCAATGTGAGGCCCCACTCTCCAGTGTGCAACGGTACCAACAACAGCTTCTGACAGCCCGACAGGACTTCCTGCTCACCAAAGCACAGCTCAGTGGTGGCACCATATCGGTGCAGGATACGGCCGGCCCTCGCACGATATCTGTTGATGGTCCCTGTACCGTCCAGCAGCTCCTCAGCCTTGAAGCCGCCAGCCTAGCTCCGGGCTACAAACTGCTTCTTTGTCTTGAGGGACGCACTTTACCGCCGGCAGCCTTCTTGCACCCACTGCCACAGGGCCCTTGTTACACCTTGGTGTCTGCTGTCAAACGAGCCAGAAAGGTCACGGTACCTACCACAACCGAGCCCCAAGGACCGACTTTGACACAGTGTACTGCGCCGGACCGTGCCCTAGCCCCTGCTTGCAATGCCACTCCCCGTGGAGACTCCCAAGTCTCAGTGGCCCCTTCCGAACCCCCTGTTCTCGCAGTGCCCGCTTCTTGCGCTATGGAGCTGCATCTAGCGCCGCATGGAAATGACTCCTGCTCTGATGCAGCCTTGTGGTGTGGGCTGTGGCAAATCATTGAGAATTCATCCACCTCTCCGGTGCTGTTGCTTCCTCCGAAAGTGGCGGCCGAGCTTGAACGGCTATCATCTGCGACAGCTCAGAGTTGGAGCCCAGAGGGCACGCCCTTCTTCCCAGCAGGGCAAATCGTTTTGGCCCCTTTTGTGCACCAGGACGATTGGACCCTGCTGACTCTTCGAATTGGGGTCACAAGCATCTCTGCCGAGATCTTTGATGGAATTCCTGGCAGGAACACCGACTATGCGAGTCGCTTGGCCACGGTGCTTTGTGCTTTTGCGGGACGTCGCCTCCAGACCCTCTCTGAGACTACGCTCTGGGTCCAAGAAGATCCACACTCCTGTGGAGCCATCGTCATGGCTCATGCATCCAGCTTGCTGTCAGGTACGCAGGCTCCGCATCAACTGTCTGATGCACGGTGCTTCTTGAGAGCGTTCCCTCCTTTGCCTTCAGCCTTGCTTGGCAGAGGTGGCCTTTCGGCAGATCAGGAAAAAGAACTCAAGGCGATCTTGGTCAATAAAGGGGTGCCCCAGTCTGCTGTTGCCGAGCGCTTGAAACTTGCTGTTGCAAAGTTGGGTGCAGGCCCTATTGCTGAGGCCTTGCAAAGTCGAAACGTTTGGCAGTCGCTCAAGGCTATTGCCTCCCGACCAGGTGCAGCATCCTTGAAGTGGGTACAGCCCGACGAGCTACAAGCCCACATTGAGCAGCGCGCCCAAGAGCGCTTTGGTGCAGACATTTCCCGTGCCAAGGCCAAGAAACAAAAAGCACCGAAACGGCACTTCCAGGCCCCACTCCATGTGGACCCCTTACAGCTTCTGCTGGCGCCGGGAAGTTTTGTGTCTGGCTCGGGTAGCCCACTCGGGCAACTGGCCTTCAATGAAGTTGCTGCGCAAGCTACCGGAGTTTGCTTCTGCACATGCGCGCAGGCCTCACCCTTCCTGACTGAGTCGCGCAACTTGAGTGTTGATCCATTGGCCTTGATCACTACGGCCGGCCGAGCTGCCCCAGGAAACTCCGAGCTTGGCGCGCATATCTGCCCTAAGGTATCCTGCCATCTTCGCTCCCACACAGGAAGCTATCCTTGTCGCTGGTTCTCTGATCCAGCTTGGGGACGAAGCAGTGCAACTTGCATCAGCAGACATTGCCGAAGTTGCATCCCTTTCGTGTGCAGGGTAAGCCTCTACCGAGATGAGTGTAAAGTTCCCTGGGACCAGATAGCCTCGGCCCCTGTCCGGGTTTTACTTCAACAAGTGCCGGAGTTCCAGGTCTGCAAAAACCCAGCTTGCGACCAAACCTGTGCAGCTTTCCATGCAGCCGTCGACGAGATCGTTGATCACTTGTTTCTTGATGTATGGGCCCGTCAGTGGAGCAAATTGTCAGGCGGCAAGACCAAAGCTGCCGATGCCGAGGTGTTTCAAACCTTTGTGCGTATGCCTTCTTCTGCCCTGCCGCATGTCTTTCTGGCCCCCTTTCCAGGGCTCTACGTTGAGCCTCGAGCTGCCGACGGCTCGGAACCGCATGGCGCTTGGGCAGTTGTCTGGCTGCCGGGACACACGGCGACGCAAGCATCGCATCTCTTGAAAATCACAGAGAAGGCTGTGGCCCTCACCAGGCTAGGCAACAAATTTGGCCTCCGCACAAAAGAAGCTGATGAACAAGCAGTCTTCGAGGCTCTGCGACCCAGCCACCAATTCATCAAGGTCCGCATCGTTGCGAGATATCGGCTGCACCCGCTTCCACACGGCTTCCAATGGCACAACCTTCAACAGCAGCTCAAGCAGTGGCAGTGGAATGCCAAGCCACTCCAACCCGACAGGGGTGATGCAAGCGGGAGTGCATGGATCATTGGTGCCTCTGGAGAGCCGCCGGCTCCGGCCCTACCTTTGGGCTCCGGCGATGTGCTGGCGACTAAAATCAAGGACATTGGCCAGCCCCGAACAGCACCCTCAACGGTGTGCGCCTCCACGCGGACCAAAAAAGCTTTGATTTATGACGACAATGATGAGGAGTCGGGGCCTACCGACCCTTGGTCCGGTGGTCGCGATCCTTGGTCCACCAATCGTCCTGCAGCAAGTGCCCCGGTGCCGGCGTCTTCATCCACAGAATCTGCATCGAAGTTTTCGCAGCTTGAGGCTGGTCTCAAACACGACCTCAAGGCCTTGGTACAAAGTGCCTTTGATGAACGGGATGCTGCCGGTCCTCCGCCGGGCCTTAGCGACCAAGATCAGCGGATTCATGCTCTCGAAACAGCTGTCAGCGAGATGACTCATCAAAGTGCGAAATTCGAAACATGGTTTCAGGGTTTCGGCACCAAGGTTGCCGATCAAGCAACCCAGCTGACCACCTTGCAGTCCACCGTCGAGGCACAGCAAGTTGAATTAGGTCGTGTGAGGTCTGGGGTCCAACAGACGGTTCAGGCTTCTGTCGCTCAGCTGCAAAGCGATCTTACCACCCAGATGGCAGCCCAACTTGCCGGACAGATGGAACAGATCGAAGCCCTGCTGTGCAAGAAGCCACGTCATTGACTAGGCCGTACCAGCCGCTCTTCTGGGCTTTCGAGTGGGCTGGGATTCATGCAACGCCCTTCAATCTTCCGGCTTTTCTTCGCATTGGTGCACTGTTGTATTGGGTTCCTCAGTGTCCCTCTCGGCCAGTTTGCAGTTGTCACTAGTGCGGGCTGCAGCTTTTCAGCATCGGCTTGCCAATTTGCAGGCCCTGTGTTTCGTTTTGGAGAGGCGGATCATCCAGGACCGCCCTCGGCTTCTGACTTCTGCATCAGCACAAGCAATCCCTCCGGCTTGCGCTCCAAAGAGCCTCATTACATCGATTGGGGAGTCGGTGTACACTGTTTCGCTGAAACACAGCTTTCAGCTGTCTCCTTGCCGGGCTGCAGACAACATTTTCGCTCCTGCGCGCGAGCCGATGGCCGCATTGCCCGCATCCTTTCCGGTGCCCCCGCCCCCCTTCGGGTCAACAGCCAGTGGGCGGGATCCTGGACCGGGGTTCTTCAAGTTAGTGATGTGCCCTGCAGTGCACATAATGTTTCCTGGCCACTGGGCCTCTTCGAGACAGGACGAGTCCTCCAAGCCAAGCATTACCATCCTGCGATTCCTCTGCTGATCGCCACGGTGTATGGGTACCCTCAGGGGCCAACATGGCCCAATGCCCAGTCCAGCACGGACTCCATGCTTTGCACACTCACCAAAGAAGTAGTCTTTGGCTCTCGTGGGTTTCGGGTGATATGTGGTGACTTCAACCATGACCTCGAGTGTTTGCAACAGTGCAATTTGTGGAAGGCCCAGGGCTGGATTGAGGCGCAGGACTTGGCACATCAACTCTGGAATGTTGCTCCTCGCCCCACGTGCAAGCATGCCACTCGTCGGGACTTCTTGTGGCTGTCGCCAGAGGCTGCATCTTACTGCACATCAGTGTCGCTACGCGACGTCTTTATGGAGCATACAACTTTAATCGCCGGGTTCTCTCTTCCGCATGATGTCGTTTCTGAGACCACCTAGCTGCCATGGACTGAAATCGCCACCGACGAATGGCACAGTTCCGGCATACATCAGCCAGTCCCTGCATCAAACCCTACCGAGTGGTTTGCCAACTTCTCTCGCGCCACCGAGCACAGCCTCCAGGGTTTCTTGCCCGACTTCCCCAATGGTCGCCCACCATCTGGATGTTTTGGTCGCGGCCAACGCACACAGCCGCAGGTTTCCACCTGCTCCCCAAAGCCTCTCAAACCCAGCCGGCCTGGTGAGGCAGCTATGTGCCATGATGGACTCGGCGCTGAAGTTCGACGGTGGTTTCAACAACTTCGCCGATTGCAATCCTTGCTGCATGCGGTTCGAGCAGCTAGTGTCGCTCCGTCGGCCCAATCCTACCGCCTTTCTCTTTGGCAAGCCATCTGTCGAGCTCGTGGATTTCGGGGTGGTTTCCCTCGATGGTGGCAAACACGGCCCGTTCAGCTAATTGGCAGCCCTGCATCGTTGCCTCAAGGCGTCCCTCATGCTGACCTCGCCCGACTGCTGCATGACGATTTCCGGTGCAATTATAGAAGGTTTGAGGCCTGGCACCTTAGAAGGCGAGCACAGGTTATTGACGCCAAGTACGACAAGTCTCTTGCCCAACTTTTCCGTGAGCTCCGGGCACCCGCCCCCGAACAGGTTGACTCACTTACCTTCCGCCGCGAATACGCCATTTTGGCTGTCGCTCCGACGGGTGACCAGCTGCACTTGGATCGCCCCCCTGACCTTCGGGGTATATCAACTTGGACTTTGGACGGAGAACAGGTTCAGCCTGTAGCATTTGATGGCGACTTGTGCACTCTGGCATCCCCTGCATGTGCTGCCAGCTGTGAACTTGAGCAAGTACAGACAATCTCTTCCGCTGCTGACCTCCACTCTGAATTCGTTGCCTACTGGGCGCCCCACTGGCAATCCCATGCGTCCGAAACACCTTCCGACTGGCGTCGATTTTTGGATTTTGCATTTGCGTTTCTGCCTCGTTTTTCATTTAATTTTCACTGCCTGCTATCACGCCAGATGTCTGGCTGCGAGCCGTTCGCCGCTTTAAGCCTCGGGCAGCACGCGGCCCAGGCGGATGGGCACGTCAAGACTTGCTCAATCTGCCACTCGAGCGCACCATTGAGCTCATTGCCTTCTTGACCTCGGTGGAACAGGGCACAAACTCGTGGCCCAGCCAAATGATCCTTGGATTTGTATGTCTGTTGTGTAAGGGCAACGGGCGCACTGACACCCAGGGCTTTCGCCCCATCTGCCTCTACAGCATCATTTACCGCACCTGGTCAGGCATTCGCTCCCGTCAGGTTCTTGCAAGCTTGTGCACTTTGGTCCCCGAGGGGCAGCTCGGGTTTCTGCCGGGTCGTGAGGCTATGGAGCTATGGTATTCTGTTCAGGTTGACATTGAGCACTGCTGCCAGACTTCCACTCCTCTCACCGGCATGTCCACCGACACCCGCCGTTGCTTCAATCACCTGCCCCGCCTGCCCTTGCTTGCCATGGCCAAACACGTGGGCCTGCCTAGCTGCCTCCGACCCCTTGGTGTGCATTCTTGGAGCACACTACTCGACGTTTCATGGTACGTAACCAAGTCAGTCCAGGGGTCACTTCAAATGCGGGCTTTCCCGAGGGCTGCCCATTGAGTCCGGTGGCCATGGCCTTGGCCGACTGGGCCTTTCATGCTTACATGAAGGCGTTCGCCCGCGCGGTGCGGGCGCTAAGCTTCGTTGACAACTTGGCCTGTACAGCCACCTCACCTGCACAACTTGTGAAGGCGGCTCACTTGGTCAACTGCTTCACGGACATGCTCGACCTGCAGCTTGACCCATCCAAAACCTACACCTGGGCTACCACTGCCCCCACACGTCAAGCATTGCAGTGCCTCGGCCACCCAGTCGTTGAGACTACCCGTGAACTTGGCGGCATCCTCTCCTTCGGCCCCCGGGTCAGAAATTCTCTGCTTAAGGACCGTTGTGATGACCTGGATCCTACCTGGGCAGCCCTTCGACGCTCTCGAGCCCCGGTCCCCTTAAACTGCAGTCTCTGCCGACCAAGTGCTGGTCCAAGGCATTGCATGGCATTGCCGGCTGCCCCATTGGCGATGGCCAATTAATTGAACCGACTGCAGGCGGCGGCCACTGGTGCCCTGCGCATCCGCCCAGCCGGGGTAAGTTCCCTGTTGAGGTTGTCCATCGCGCCGGACATGACCGCTGACCCAGGCTTCTACCAACTATGGGCATGCGCCCGCGACCTGCGCCGAATGGCGGGTAAACTGCCGAATTTTGTGGGCCAATGGAGACAACTCATGTCTCTTTACGACGGGAGGTCCTTACAGGGCCCTTTCTCCAAGCTGGTTGCGGTCCTCTCGCAGGTCGGCTGGTCCATTTTGCAGCCGCCATGGCTCTTGGACCATGAAGGTCTTCGGCACAACTTTTTGACCGTCCCACAGGCCCTACTCAGAAGATTGTTGGAGAACGCATGGCTGCAGTTTGTGGCTCGTAACCACCTTCATCGGAAGACTATGTCCGATCTCGACGGTTTAGATCCGGCTTTGCTGTGCGCCGACACTTCTCGGCTGAGCGCCCTTGACAATGCTCGTTTGGCCTCCGTTCGATCGGGCGCCTTCCTTTTCGGGCACATGCACTCCCACTACGATCTCACCAAGTCTGGTGCTTGTGCACTGTGTGGAGTGCCTGATACCGTTGAACACCGGATCCGGGTTTGCCCCGCCAATGAAGCACTCCGTGCGGGACACGACTGGCTCTGGGAACGATGGCCAACTTTGCCGGTCGCTTTGACCCACCATCTCCTCCCACCGGCAAACCCACACCTGCCGCGATTCCGACTTCTCCTTCAGCATGTGACCGACACTTCGGGGATCTTCTTCTGTTCGGGGTTTGGTAGTGGTTGGCAACACCTTTTCAGTGATGGCTCCTGCCTGGAGCACCAGCATGCAGACTTTGCTTTGGCCGGATGGGGACTCGTCCACGCTCAGCATCAAGCTGTCGTTTCCTGTGGACCACTACCAGGTCTTTTGCAAACCGTCCCACGCGCAGAACTTTTCGCGATGATTAGCGCCGCCAAGTGGGCTCTGCACTGCGGACTGCCTTGCATTATTTGGACAGACGCCTTGAATGTTGCTAACGGTGTCCAGGCTTTGCAAGCAGGCCAAGGCTTGGACGACATCGCCGACTCGGATCTGTGGGATCTTTTGGCAGGGTTACTGGACCAGCTGAGCCCCTCGCGCTTCTTGGTCAGACACACACCGTCGCACCTCGACACCAACCTCACCGAGGAACCTTTTGAAGATTGGCTCGCCGCTTACAATGGACACGCAGACCTGTTAGCCGGATTGGCCAACCACAACAGGCCCCAACTCCTGGTTGACACTTACAAGGCAGCTTTGGACAACCACGAGGACGTGCTCCGGATACTGCGAGTGCTTCGCTCCATCTTCTTCGGAATCGCTGATGGACCAACCTCTGCAAGATCCCAACAAGTGGCTCTGCCACCGGAGCCGGTGGAGTGGATAGTGCGGGCACCCAGAACCGCACCGCGACATCTGGAACTGGATGAGGCCTTTCCACTCAACTGGAAGCAGATTGTCCGATCTTCGGGTGGCGTTCTCCCCAGTGAATTCACAAGTGAGGTGTGTGAGTTTCTACTTCGACAAGACAGGCTGTCGGAGGAAGTGCACGAGAGCACTTGGCTTGAGCTTGTCTTCGCTCTTCATCATGATAGTGACATTCAGTGCCCTGTGTGTGATTCGGAAGGCAATTGGATTCATGCCAGAACATTATTTTTCAACCTCCTGCGCCAACAGTTGCCCGGCGGTTGGGTTTGCTTCGACGGGCTTTGAGACCCGCTTTCAAGAGCTTGGGGATCACTTCCTTTTTGATTGATGGTTTGGACCTTTCCGAGTTCGGTGTGAGTTTTGCCCTTGACGGTTTGGTGATTGGGTTTTCTACTGAAGTCATCCTTCGAGCTCGATCTACTCTCGGCCGATTTATACAGGGCAGACGCGCGGGCACTCGTTCTGCGCTTGCCAGGCCTCTTATTCTTTAGACTGAGACCTTTCGGACATCAGCGAGCCGCACTGCCCACGCTGTGCGCTCGCACCAAGACATGAGTGTGGTATATAATATACCACATATAATACATAGTGTATATATATAGTATAAAAAATATGACGATTCTACGACTTGTCCTCGCCTTCGCAGGTGGACTTGGGGGTGGAGTTGGCCTTGGCGCGGGCCGTGCCTCGAAGTGTCAAGGAAGCTTACTCTTTGGATTTCGGGACATTAGTACTATTGTTACGATTATTACCATTATTACTATTTATTATTATTGCTATAACTACTATTATAACAATTATTACTATTACAACTATTATTACTATTGTTACGATTGTTACTGGTATTACTATTATTACTATTATTATTTTCATTGCTATTATTACTATTCTGACTACTATGACTATTATGACTATTATTACTATTAGTACTAGTACTAGCATGATTACCATTATTACTATTATGACTCTTATGACTCTTATCACTCTTATGACTATTACTACGATTATTGCTATTATTGCTATTATTACTACTATTACTATTAATGCTATTATGACTATTCTTAGATAACTTGTGTGAGACCCTCCGCACCTGCATCTGGGCTTGTGCCGCGCTGTCTTCTGCTGCTGGAGTGCTCTCTGTTGCGTCGGTGGCTTCGTCTTGCTTCATTCCCGGTCCTTCCACTTTGGCATCTAATCTTCGTGTGGCTACCACTGTTCCCATGTCGTAGACCACCTCCCAGGACTCGTTACCGGAGTGCCATAGATGAAGGCCATCTTTTTGACCACCGGCATACTCTCCGGACTCTTTGGTACCATCTGCCCAGGTGTACACACCATGCCCACATTTCTTATTGTTGGCATACGTTCCCTCAAAGGTGTCCCCGTTCTGAAAATGAATGGCCCCTTTGCCATGCGCACTGCCTTGCAGCCACTGCCCTTCAAAGACACCGCCATTGAAGAACAAGGTTCCGTAACCTTCTCTTTTGCTCCCACACCATTGGCCTGTGTACGTTGTTCCATCCATCTGCATCACTCCGTAGCCGCTTCTTTGCCCTTGCTCGTCACGGAATCCCACATAGACTCGACCTTCCTTCTCCTCTGAATTCTTGGACATGCCCCTTTGGCTGCAAGCTTGCTGGTCGGTCTGCTGTGGGAGCGCAGCCACTTTGTCTGCGAAGCCTGCCGGACCTGCAGGTGTGGATGAGGTCGTCTTCTTTGCCGGCTGCGCGCCTGGCAAGTAGGAGGCAAGACCCTTCTTCGGCGGCGTCTGCGACCTTGGTGCCACAGGCACCGCAGGCTTCCTTGGTAGGCGTTCCGAGGCCGGTGACGGATCTCTCGGCTGGACAGACGGGCTCTGAAACCTGCTCTCAACTTTACGCCGACTCTCGTCCGTCTTTGCCTTTGGCTGGACCTGTCCATTGGTCTGTCGGTTGCTTGTGGGGCTCCTTGGGCTAGAGCCTCTCAACGGGCTGACCGGCTTCGCAGCGGTCTGTCTCGCCGTGACCGGTGCAGATCTTTCCGAGCGTGGGGAGGGTTTGGGGCTGCGCGGGCTTCGCTGCACACCGAAGGGGCTTGCCGATCTCTCGCCGCCTCTACGGGCCTCTTTGGGCCCAAACTTGCTGTTGCTGGAGTTGCTGAAGTGAAGTGCCTGGCTCCTGGATGTCTGCACTGCAAGCCGCGCGATGGGCTCCACAAACGCAGGCGTTTCTGGCGGGCTCCTGCTGGCGATTCGCTGTCCGCTGGCACTTCCCGGCCCTGGGCCCCTGGAAAGTCCAGCATTCACCGGGCGGTAGGACGATGACGAGGACGTCACAGCTCCACCTCCACGCTTTGAGCCTGGGATCTCGGCCCTGCCTTGCTTGCTCTGCTTGGCGGAAGGAGAGATCTGCTTTGGTGAATCCGACCTCGAAGCGTTTCTCACCACGTCCCTCAGCTGAGCTCGCGCTCCAACCGTAAGGCTGAGAGTGCTTGGAGGTGGGATCCTGCCTCCCCTAGCTGCTTGCAGCTCTTGTCTTTCTTGTAGCAGTCTGCGCTGCTGTTCGAGCTCTCTTGCTCGCGGATATGCAGGTGCCGTGCTGGACAAGGAGCGAGGGCTGGCGGAGCGTTGCAGAGCCGAGGCACTGCAAAGCTCGTCGTGCGGATGTTGAACCGGCGCCGAGTGCTTCGGGGAGAGCTGCCTTGCATTTTGCGGTCTCGCGGCCCCTGATTGGACTTGCTGTTTCGCGAAGGGGTGGAGGATTCCCTGCTGGCCATGCACTCCGTGCTGCTGAAGGAACTGCTCCGCAAGCGGGTATGATGTTGCTGAAAACGACAGTTGCTGTTCTTGCTCTGCTCGGGTGGGTCTCGCTTGCACAGGCCCATTCCTGGCCGAAGCCGACTGGATCCGGGAGAGGTCAGCCTTGCATTGCTCTGTCGCAAAAGCTGCGCATGTGGAACTCTCCACCTAGGTGGAAACTGAAATGCAACCGAGCATCACTCTGAGTTTCTGCAGAAATCTGCGGAGTTTGTGAAGGCCTTGGTGTGCTCGTGAATGCTTCAATGCAGCTCGACCAGGGCAGAACCAGAAACAGCACACAGGCCCTGATACCGCGGGCACGTCTTCTTTCAGGCTGGTCACATGACGCGCCTGGATGTGGAACGCGAGAGCAGCATCTCTTGCTCTT